GAGGTGAGCTGGTGTTGACTGAACGAATGAATGAATGAATGAATGAATGAATGAATGAATGGATGAATGAATGAATGGCCTTTATTGTCATTATACAGAGTACAACCAGACTAGAGAGCGCCTCCTATTTTCAATGTAAGTAAGAACAAAATAAAGTGCAAAACTGGTCAGTAAAATATAAAAGATAAAAAAGGATAAATATATAAAAAGAAATACAAGATTTAAGAGGTATTGCACCAGATGATAGATATTTACAAAAAACCCAAAAGCGCCGCTGGCCTTGGCATTATTAGCACCACGCTCTATTTTTCTATTCTATTCTATTCTCCTCTAACCAACTGAGCTAATCGGCCCTAACCGGTGCCACTGGGCTAACTGGCCCTAACCGGCCCTAACCGGTCCTAACCGGCCCTGCTGGGCTAACTGACCCTAACCGGTCCTAACCGGCCTTGCTGGGCTAACCGGCCCTAACCGGCCCTGCTGGGCTAACCGGCCCTGCTGAGCTAACCGGCCCTAACCGGCCCTGCTGAGCTAACCGGCCCTAACCGGCCCTACTGAGCTAACCGGCCCTAACCGGCCCTGCTGGGCTAACTGGCCCTACTGAGCTAACCGGCCCTAACCGGCCCTGCTGGGCTAACTGGCCCTACTGAGCTAACCGGCCCTAACTGGCCCGGTTCTGAGACTGCAACAGTACAGTTACATCTGAACTACTTCAAGGCATGAAGGGAAGCTTTATGGGTTTTCATCAGTGGCAGGAGAAGGACTTTAGTTCCTCTCCAGTTTTCAATGTGCAAGCTGAAGCTGGATAGAAACACCTACAGGAGACATTAGTGGCTGATGTGGATTTACAGGAGAAGCTTCAGTGTGTGGCTGATGTGTCGTGTGTGTGATCATCCTGCCTGAACACTGAAATCACTAATGGTAGAAAGTAGCTCCAGAAATATATTTGTAGGGAAAAAAACAGTTAGGAGTTTCTCTAGTTGTACAGTAATTCCAGAAGTAAGTCCTGCTGGCAGCCAGCTGGACGTCCTGCTCCTCTCAGAACATACGTGTGCTGCAGATGAGCGTCCACACAGTCTTTGTTAGCCGTAGGACACAAGGAGCAGTAAACTGTAATGCGTTGGGACGAGTGAAGAGGTTTTGCTCCGCTGTCCTTCATTCCAGCCCCTCTGAGGGCAACAATGCAGCTGAGAGGAGAGTTCTTGTTCCCGTTGTGTGGACGCTGAGCCAGAATGGGGCCAGAGCTCATTAGCAGCCAGCCAGGGGCCTCGTACTGTACATGACTGAATGGCCTCCATCAGCCCCCCTCCCCCACTCATTATGTCACCTGGCATTGTTCAGGAGAGAGAGGGTGTGTGTGTGTGTGTGTGTGTGTGTGTGTGTGTGTGAGAGAGAGAGAGAGAGAGACAGTACCGACAAGCTGCATTTGGCCAGAAGAATAATATTAATAACAAAAATAACATGAACAATAGTAACAAATACTTGGTCCTGTTTCTTCTAAAAAGTATTTAGAAGAAGTTGGACGTCTGACAGAACACAGAGACGGATCGACAGCACGACTCGCTGTGTTGGATAAACCCACTGACCTCCAGAGAGAGAGGCTCACTATGCCCACATTACAACCAGGATACAAAGCAGTTTTCCTCCTAATTATTCATGCATGCTGTCTTCATTACACACACACACACACACACACACACACACAGTGGAAGCCCATCCTTTTTCAGAGCATCAAAGATGAGTGGAACAGACCCACTGATGGAATCCAGAAGCTCCTGTGTGAGCCAGTTGAACACACACACACACACACACACACAGTGATAAGCGGGTGTTGTGGTTTTCGTCGGCCGGTGTCAGGCCTGTGGTCAGTGTGGCCGGGTGTAGCTGGTTGGCTGGTGGGGGTGACAGGGACTGGAGGAGAAACCCAAATAAGGACTACAGGACTACCACAGCTGTTAGGAGATTAAAAATGTTTATTTATTGGTGAACTTTGTGTAGGTAGTTGAAATTAATCACATTATTGCTACAGTGGACGGTTTGTGAGGCCAGTAGGAAGTAAAACTGTTGTGTGTTTGTTTGCATCGCTCCACTGCTGTGCTCCATTCAGTCTCTTCTCTGTTGTCATGACGGTACACTCATGTGAATGCAGCTAACCCTAACCTCAGGATTACCGGTTCATCTGCTCATTCTTTAGGGACTGCTAGAAGTTGAAAGTTGCTGTACCCTCTCACTCAGTATGTAGGTTTGCCCTTTCTGTTCATACAGCTGATGGATCCCAGAGACGAGCAGCTCATACAGACAATACCCAACACCAGCGTCTAGGATCACAGGGATGGTTCTGTGGAGACTGGGCTATAAAGGGTTCCCTTTGCTATTTATTGACTCAAGAATGAGAAAATCTGGCTTCCTCCCACAGTCCAGAAACATGCTGAGGTTAATTGGTGATTGTAAATTGTCCGTAGGTGTGAATGTGAGTGTGCTTGGTTGTCTGTCTCTAAGTGTAGCCCTGTGATAGACTGGTTACCTGTCCAGGTGAACCTGCCTTCACCCTGAGTCAGCTGGGATAGGCTCCGCCCCCCACCACCCTAGTGATGACTGCTGACCACATTCTGCCTCCAAGCGCAGACATCAGGTTTATCTTCTTCATGTCATCTCATTCTCATAGCTTCCATGATGAACTATTGCTTGAATTATGTGTAGAGTGGAGCTTGTATGAGCTGTAGCTCTGCTGAGAGTGTAGGTGGCTCAGAATGATGTTTGGATCTGGTCAGAATGTGGTATTTATGACCCTGATCCAACCAGCGTTCTGTCATTACTACCACAGCTGTCTGACAGCAGTGATGTTAGCTTGAGAGGTGTTTGGTCCGTATGAACAGTAGAACGGTTCCTCCTCTTTATGCTGTGGACGTGTCAGTGCCAGCAGCTTTACTGGGACTTCAACAGTATACAGTAGAAGAGATCAGAGGGCGTCTTCACCGCTCTGAGACCATGTAGAGCGTGTCATCTGTCATGTGTGTTTAAACAGGTCATGGTGCTGATGGTGGTCGTGCACCCCAGCTCTCCACCTGGAAACACTCATCTGGACTAAATGCAAATCAAATAGTCCTGCCAGGTCCAGCTTATCTCCTCAGGGCTGACTTCAGGTGTTGGGCAGTAAAGGCAGTGTGAAGCCTTCAGTGGCTCTGGAAGGATCTGTGTTAGGTTTGATCAGTCTGGTTGGGTGCCAGCTGTGTCTGAAGACTACAAGTCTGTGCAGTGTGAACACTGCTGGGTTAGAGTTAGAAGCAGCACCAGACTTAAGGGACTCAAAACACATGAGCTGCCACTTGCAGAACCAGCTGAACTTCAGACCTTCTTTCCATTCCTTCCTGGAGGAGTCCAGCTCAGCGTCACTGTGCTAAGTGTTGTAAAGTCCACGCACGAGGAGGTTGGAGCAGTTTGTTGACAGCAAACTGAGCCAAGTCTGTTCCTGGAAGCCTGGGCAGGGCTGTGGTTTGGAGCGCTGCTGCCAGCCAACACCCCCGGCTCTGTGGGCTTCTCACTCCTGCTGGGCTGGGAGACGTGCAGATGGGATGTGGATGCTATCTGGGTGATATAGGTTCTATGCATCTGCACAAGATGCTTCCATCTCTGCCACAGCGGTTAGACACTGTTGGTGTTGAGAGGAGGACTGGAGGAGACACAGTTTAAGGGGCAGTGCAGTGGGACAGTAGTAGTATTATTACTTTATGGATACCACGTAAGCTCAGTGCATTTAAGAGGCGCTTGGAATCCAAAAAATAAATTGTGGAGTGTTGAAATAGTGTTTTCCCCTGATTTAAAGTGTGACTACTCGTTTCAGACAGCAGCCGTTACACACACACACACACACACACACACACACACACACACACACACACACACACACACCTGTCTGCTCCTGTTAGCATTGAAAGCTGTACGTCACTGAAGTTACTGACACATATTCCTTCATAAACATCGTTCCAAGGTCACACTAGTGTAGAGTTTTCTAAAGAGTTCAGATTTGGTCAACTTTAGTTCATAGATTTGCACAGCGATGGAACCACAATGAAACCCTGTTGTGTATAAATGATTAAAATGGCTGAAAGGGGTGGTACATGAAATGATGTCGATGATGTTTTAAACCTGGATGTTATCACATTTTTGACTGCTTCAGTTCACTGTTGAAGCGTTGTTCTTCTGTGTTGCTGTGTAGTCAGGTCACAGCTTCAGGTGATGCTGGAGTCTGATGAGGTGACGTGTAAAGGTTTCCACAGACCCACGGTTCCAGCGTACAGAACAGACACATGGTGTGTACAGTGTGCAGAGTTTCTGTGGCGTATAACAGCGTCACAGGTCAATGCATGAGCACCTGAACCTAGTGCAGAGGTTCAGTCTGTCTCTTCTCTCCTGCTCCCTGTGCTCACATAGACTGCAGCGTAATGCAGGTTCCTATAGGCCCAGAGCTGTTCTCAGACCAGGGACGAGTGTGACGTGGTAACTGGAACATGGCCCGTTAGGACTGTGTGTTTACCAGCAGCTACCTCCATGCTGCTGCTCTGCACCACTGGAACAAGGGTTTTATTATTTTAAAACGTTTGAGAGATTATTGGACAGACAAAGCTGTGAGTGGCAACCCTCCACGCCGTTCCTGTAGCATCATCGTCTGGATAAATCTGTATAAATGTAAATATCAGTATATCTGCACCTTTAATGGTCTTGTCAATGATACCACAGTTATATGGTTCTTTTTTAAATTTAAATTTAACTCTTCACAACATTTTTTAGCTTCTGTTTTGCACTATTACAGTTATTTTTATCTTCAGCTACTTTTATTTTGCTCTATATTTGTTGTTGTATTGTTGCATCGACCAACCAGAACAAACTCCTCGTGTTGTGTAAACTGTACCCGGTAATAAATCTGATTCTGGTTCTGTTATGATGCTGCTCTACACCAGTGGTTCTGTTCTAATGCTAACTTGGTGTGTCTGTGTCTGCAGATCCCTCCTGCTGCCACCATGCTGCCGAGTTCACGCCTTGCAAAGAAGCTTGTGACCAGGTACACACACACACACACACACACACACACACACACACACACACTCATCAGCCCATTGTCGTCGGCCCATTAGCAGAAGTTTCTGAAGGGGAGTTGTGTAAAGTTTTTTTGTCTGCCGGCTCTTTGAAGTGTAAAATGAAAGTTGTGTCTCGGCCCTTTTCAGCTGGGAGCAGGTGACGCTCCCGGTCCCTCTCTTTCTCCCTTCGTATCTGTCTGAAGCCCTCATGTCCTGCTTCACGCTGAAAGGGACACAAAGGAACCGTGAAAGAGCCTGTTCTTTGGAGGAAGCCAACAGGATGGCAGCTCAGACCTTCTTCCAGCAGAGTGTTCACCGTTTTGCTCGACAAATAAAGATAAAATCAGAAAAAGATTTAAAGATGGAGTTGAACGCAAGCAGTGGGATAATGGGAGGAACATCAGAGGAAAGAAATACATGGACAAACACGACGAAGTGATGAAAGCTGGAGAGAGAAGGATAACAGCCTTTTAGAGGTATAATGGCCTTAAACTGCCCTGTGGAGGGTGTGGTTCAGGTTGGAGTGTGGGCGGCTGTTGGTGTCGGGGTGTCGGGGATGGGCGTCAGGCACACGGTGTAATCACCAGGACCGATTTAGCTCTGATGGAAGCTGCCTCGGCTACGCCCAGAAAACTAGCGCTTTGGTGGTTATATATAGAAACACAGAGGCTCAGAGAATTAAGTTTAATTTCACTGAATTAATTAACTCAAGGAGAGACCCTAATGTGGTTCCACATTCTTCTTTTTGTCCCATATTTTTTACATTGCTAGTTTTGGCGTACTTTATTTTGAAGGGCAGTAGAAGTATGTAGACCTGGACACCACCAGGAAGAATCACTGTCATGTAGGAGATCAGTGTGGGTCCAGATGACAGATAAAATAGCATCTTTTTCACTTTTTAATACTGCAGAACCAACTAAACAGCTGTATGGGAGGAGGCGGCACAGCCTTGTTAGTGAGAGGCTGCATGCTATCTGGACATCCAGCAGACTTTATACTGGTCCTACTGCTGCTCGCTTGCTCCTATCTTCTAAATCCAGTGTTTTCTTATGCTGTTGACACACAGCTCCATGGAGCAGCAGCTAACCAGTAGGCACTTCAGACCAAGCACTGTGTAGAAGCTCCTGACTGGTTCTGAGCACAGGCAGGCTGGACGTGTGAAGTTCTGCACCAGCAGCATGTTGAGTGAAACACTGAGTGGTGATCAGCGACACGTGTCCAGTCTGTGTTTCTGAGATGTCTTACTGTCAGTGTTCAGTCAGCAGCACCTGAATAACAACATGGTCATGTGGATATACTAGCCCCACGTTTCAGGTTTTTAGACAGTCAGTGTGCTACATCTGGCATTTTTAAGCTCTGGATGTATAATCTCTTTGCTGCTTACTTTTTCCTGATATTTTTCTTTTTCTTTGCATGTGCTTTGGTCGTATGTCGTCTCCGGTTCTTCCCCCCCCAGCTAGCCTTCAGTCCCACAGACTGACTTCACCACAACCTTCAAACAACCTCTACTTCCTCCTGTCACTACTGGATCTGCTCAGTTCCTAATTTTATAAACTTGTAGTGATATCACTTGACTTCTGCGTGTTTGTGACTAAGTTGAGGAGTAAAAGGCTGTAACCAATAGAAGTGATGGTAGGACCTTTAATATAGAGATAATGTTTCCTAGACGGTGTCTTACAGCCCAGACATCTAGAGGTCTGTAGGGTTTTATTCAGCTGAACTCCTGAATACCTTCATACCTCGTACAGTGGAATCAGCTGCTTCTGACTTTGGCTGGAGTGAAAACCTGCCAGCTGTCAGGCCCTGATGGCACACATCTGGAAACTGCTGCTGGACTGAACCATTGTTCTTGGGCCCGGCTCCATCTATCCTGGAGAGTCTGACAGCCCACACTTCCTCACCTTTCATAGAGACAGAGTCTTACTGAAGGCCCCGCTGGCTCGTTGGTTTCATAGTGGTGGTTTTTGTTGCATCGAGGAGGTTTTCCTTCCTCTGATCACTTTCACTTCAGTTGATGTTGTGTTTCTGTCAATCTAGCAGGGATGGGATTTGGTGAAGGAGTTGATGTGTGAAGTTGACAGTTGGTCTGATTGCATTCTTCTGGTTCTCCAACAGCAAAGCCCTCCAAGAACCACTGATTACCACCACATTATGAACACCTGCTGCCTGGCATGTAGGAAATGAATTATTGATGTACAAACAGATCAGAACAGAAACAGGGTGGCTGTGTTTCAGGTGGGAGAGCGGGTTGTCCTCCAATCGTAAGGTTGGTGGTTCCATCTCCTCCACAGTCACAGTGTCCTTGGGCAAGACGCTGAAGCTGAAGCTGCTCCTGATGGCAGACAGCAGCTTGCATGGAGCTCTGTGGCCGCTGGTGTGTGAATGGGTGAATGAGAAACACATAGTACAGCGCTCTGGGTGTATAACTGCAGACCATTTACCATCTAAATGCTACGTATGCTAACATTAAACATTCTTCTTTCACGCTTAAGATGTGGAGAACGGTTAGTAAAGCAGAGGGGCGACTGTTCTAACGCTCAACAGGAGAAAACATCAAACCAACAACCAACACAGTGCACAACAAAGAGGATAACAAAACACCCAGCCGGTGATATTAAAATCCGTTTTAACCTGCAAAGGGCGCCTTTCATGAGGCTTGTGGGAGCAGCAGAAAGGTGTTTGGGTGAACTCATTAACAAGCTGTGTTGCATGTCCAGAACGCACACACATGATGCTTCCACATGAGGATGCACGTTCATGAAGCTCTTTGGTCTTTATCACCGTTTGAGGAAGATGTCAGTGTTCAGGTGTGGAATGCTCCACGATGTCCAGCAGCTCGTCTCTGGCTCAGGACGTATCGTACAGTGAGTTGATCAGAACCTTTTCACTCCACATTAAAACCAAAACTATGAGCTGAAAGAGGTAACAGAAGTCCTGTGGGGCTGAGGGGAACTGCAGAGTTGTCCTATAAAAGCAGTCATGTGATTAAACACCACTGAGTATAATGACTTTTTAAATAAACTGCAGTATTGTCAGAGATGTCCAGAACTACTTACATCAGCCAACTTGCCTTTTCAGAGAAGCCTGGAGCAGGTAAGGTGTGGCTCTGTGTCCAGTGGGTTGATCAGAGCCTGAAGGTTTCTTAACTCTGTTTTAACAAATCTGTACAGAGCATATTTAGAGTTTTCTCCACTTTGCCGTGCCTCACAGTTTGACGTCCTCCAGATCAATCAGCCAGGAGAGCAGTCCTCTGCCATCCCTGAACAATGTGCCCTGATCACAGAGCTTCAGCTCACAAACACTAACGCTTGTCTATTGTGTAGCTCGTGACTTTATTTCCTCACAAAGGCAGACAGATGGGATTTTCTTTCTCAGATTCCTTCACTAAAATGAAAATAATGACGCTGTGATTACAGACCATGAAGCATCTTTGATATTCTTTGTTTATTTCAGACTTTGTTTTGAATCATTGTGCTGTCTCACTGCTGTGGATCCACACAAACAACGAGTGCTCCCAGAAGTCTGAGTGTGTGAAGCTGTAAATCTCACTCACTTGGTTTCATGACTTCACACTTCAGCCAGACGCTGCTGGCAGCGGCGGCGTTCTCCCAGGCTCTGGCCCTGGATGTTCACACAGCACTGGGCTCAGTGTGGATGCTCACCACAGACTTGGATGTCTTGTTGATGTCTAAATGAGCATATCACACAAGTGTTAGGGCTGAATGTGTTTTCTGTCCCTCTCCTGTAGCCTGGGTCTCTGTTTAGGAACCCAACGAAATGCAAGAGCAAAGGTACAATAAGGATCTTTTAATGTCTTGTAGATCAAAGGGATCGTAATATATCACATGCACTAATCTGGATCATTACCAGTGACTCAGCAACAGGACATAGAAGTCACTCTGAATCCAAATAGCTGTTCAGTGTGTTCCTCTGCTTGGAGATGCAGGAGTCTCTTGGATCACTCACAGTATTTAGGAAGTCGGAGGTGTTGATCAGGACCGTGTTTCCTGATGACCACTGATCTCAGAAGGTAACAGGGTTTTCTGAGCACATTTAGGTTTATATCTTTTCATGGGACAACACTGAAGGAATGACGCTTTGCTACCATGCGAAGCAGTCAGTGTCCAGCTGGTATAACTGTACATTTACTGTCCCCTCAGAATAACTCAGTACAGCCATGAATGTCTAAACTGCTGGCAGCAGAAGTGATGTCCATACTGGTCCCAGATTGGTCCCAGTTAGCCATTGTCCCTGGTGTCACGGCTCTCACACTCTCTCCTACTGCTCACTGGAAGTTCAACATGGAGCCTCATGGCAAAGACCTCTGAGGATCTGATAAAAGCATTGCTGCTCTACAGAAAGATGGCCTCGACTATAAGGAGACTGTTAACACCCTGAAACTGAGCAGCAGCACGGTGGCCGAGACCGTACAGCGGTTTAACAGGACGGGTTGCCTGACACCACAGGACACCTTGTTGTGGAGTCCAGAGCTCATTGGTCAGAGCTTGATGCCATATATATATATATATATATATATTTAGCAGAGCCCATTTCCTCCTTTTCCAACACATTGAATACGGCAACAAACTGTGTGCTTTAACTTTTCCATCTCTTACTCTTGTGCTCCATCCTGTCCAGTCCCTCGATGGAATATAGACCAACAACTAAAGGTTTTCTGCTCTCTTCTCTGATGATGTTGCATTAATTCTGGATCTCTGCTCTTGTCCCACAGCTCGCCACTATAAAGAGTGAGTCACGTCTGAAGCATCTCCTCCAGAGGTTACCTGGTTACTGTCCAGAGTCTATGGTGAGTCAGTCGTCCATATGGCAATGGCACATACTGTACATTCACTGACAGCTGCCTTCTCAGTCTGGTTTGGGTCTGAAACACTCCAGACTCACAGTTGTGTTGGATTGCACCGCATCATATCAGTGTTTATACAATCAGAGACTTGTTAAAACCACCCTTAGATATGCAGAAGAAATGATCAGCTCAGGCTTTACACCTGACCAGCCCTGAGCGTGGAACGTTCACAGAATGAGATCTAAACCTGAGCAACCAATTAACGTGCCCATCAATTAGCTGGTGGCACGGTCTACAAGGAGTCTTCAGAAGGTCTTACCCCTGAGCAGGGACTTTCTGGGGGATGAATCATCTTAATTTAGACCCTGGTTCCTCTGCTGGAACACACGTTTAGGAACTCAAAAAGTTCCTGTTCCCTGGAAGAGTCCCCATGGTGGAAATGCACCTGTCAGTAGGAGAAGGCAGTTTTATTTGGGAGATGATAAACTGTGCTCTGACGACATAAAACTGATGTAAGACACCTGATTTACTTCATCCTTCCTGTGGTGTCGGCTCATCCCATCCAAACCAGTCTTGCTTGTTACCTGCTGTCACAGCTGAGCAGTGCTCTGCACACCTGTGACAGAGGAAAGGCTGAAGCTATAGGAAATGAAGATTCATGTAGGTGGCCAAACCATTGTTGACAGCGTAAACAGTAAGTAGACAACACAAGAACCACTCACTGGCTCATTCTAGAGCTCTCAGCTGTATCACACTGTCTTCATCAGACCAGATGTCCTAACATGTGCAAACACAGTACCTCATACACCCCCTAAGTCCAGGCAACACGTCTGGGACCAGCTAGAGACTGGATCCTTGAGCTGAACTTCTGCTGTTTGCAGTAATAACTCGGATTGAATTTTTCTTCATGAAACTTAAGCAAGTTCAGTTGCTATGATTAAACTAGGAGAATAGCCATGACCTGGATGACTGAGAGTCTTCACAGACAACTTGGAATGAACCTTCAAAGTCATGCCTCAGGTGTTGTTGACGTCAGCCAGCAAGATCGTTTGAGTTCAGCAGCTTCAGCCTGCAGCAGCAACCCCTGGTATCCAGACCAATGCTGCTGCACTGAAACACGTTAGAAATACTGGACTGTGTCTCATTGGCCAGGTGAGTTACTGCTGCTCTAAGCCTTCCTTTCACTGTGTATCAGACTGAGACCGAACAACCAGGCAAAGAAACCTCCACATGCTTCTTCATGGTTCTGTTCTGTCGAAGCTGGTGTTATCGAGGGCTTCACAAACATTAACCCCAAACTAACATTCAATAAAAAATGTCCTTCAAATGCAGTTTGTTGTCAAACCAACTTAGCTTTGTGCACATCCCAGTGATGAGAGAAACACCATGAAAGAGGTGAGCCATGAGAAAGAGGCTGTTCTTTCACTGACAGCATCACAGTGTTTGTTCCAGTCCTGCATGGTGTAGAAGCTCCAGCTAGAACTGTACAGACCGAAGCTGTTTGAATGAACACAGAGGGAGCCTGATTTCAGCCTTTATGCTCTGGTGCTGCTGATCAAACGTGATGTTGTGGTGTCTTGTTGTGCTGATCTCTCGGCCAGTGGAAAGACTAAATTAGTATCGACTCTTTCATTAGACCTATTCAGGAAGTGGGTTAGTGGTTGTGGCTACTAGAGCACCTGGTTAAATTAGACTCTCTCACACACACACACACACACACACACGCTGGCTCAGTTCTTCCTACCACCATGGCTAATTACAAAGCAGAGAGGCTGCTGGTTTGGTGCTGTTTGGTCTCGTCTCTCTCCAGGCAGTCGATCAGAACACACCAGTAATTAGACTGAGGCAGCCCTAAACGTTGGCTCTCAGTTCAACATGTGTCCCGTTCTCATTCAGCTAAACACCCTGATAGGTGAGGTCCACACTGAAGTCCTGTGCTGCTCCCGTTATCCACTGACAGTCTGTAGAGGTCTGTTCCTCTCTCCTTATATCTTTATCTTTATTTATTAGATCCCCATTAGCTGCTGAACTTAACAACAGCTAAACATGTTGTAGCTGGCAGTAAGCTAGCGACTGCTGCTAGCTTTAGGCTTGAGATCTGGGCTGCATGCTGTCATAAACCTGATGATAAATTTCAATACCTTAAGGTTCTTATTGTATAATTATGACAACGTCCAAACACTATCAGACAAAAGACATGCTTTTAAAGAACTATTGCAGTCTTCCAAATTGCAGCCTGTGAAATTCTGCAAATGTATGAGAAGGTTTTAAACTAGAGCCTAAACTTAACTCACTTCCTGAGTCACTGGGGACGCTTCCTGCGAGCAGCAGACCTGTACCATGAGGCTGCAACAACTTGCTGGCCATTTTACTGCAGGAAAGATCTTTGTTCCAAGGAGGAGCCTCCCTCCCTGTGCCTCGTGGAGCAGCAGTCTTCTCCACTCAACGTCGCCAAACATCAAACACCAGTTGGGTTGCCCCTGGCAGACGCCCAGAACACGACCCCGTCCCTGTGACGCACCAATCAGATTCATGTCTACAGTTCTCAGTAAAGATGTGTGCACTCTGGGCCTCGTGTGGTGCAGCTGGTTCAACCATAGTTCTTTTTCATTGTGACTGTTGTGGCTGGACTGCAGATCCTGAAGGACCATGGCTGCTACTAGTCCTCTGAGATGTGGTGATGGAATAAGCAGATCCTAACCTGTGGAGCTCTGGATCGACTCTTCATTGTTCGGTCAAGGCGTTCCGAGTTGGACGTGTAATTGGGGCAAAAAGACTTTAGTTTTAAATTGGTGTTCTGTGGGGGTGTGATCTCCACCTTAGGACGTGATCCAATACAGATCTAGATAGAATAGAACTTTATTGATCCCTTTGATGGAAACCTCAGGGAAATTGCTGAAGGTTTCCACCAAACGGATCAATAAAGTTCTATTCTATTCACAACGTGCTTCTGTGTTGTGGGCTTTGTTGGTCAGACAGTGATCAGTGTTGTGTGTCTGTGTTCAGGTGTGACTATCAGCAGCTGATCTGTTTCCACCAGGTGTTATACACCTGACAGAATGGAACAGATCTACAGGAATGAGAGGGATCCTCATGGAGCTGATCGGTGGCACAATGACTAAAACCCTGAACTCATAGTTTTACTGCTGGACCACATGGTTTCAGATCCTCTCACTGAACTAGAAAAACGTGTTGTGGTGGAGACGAGTTCGTTCCTGTGAAGCTTCACTGTTATTTCATGGAAAGGTGTGAAAAGGGACCCGACATCGTTACATGGGCTTCATGTCCACAGTGGTGCTCATGCTCTCATCAGCCTGTGAGCTGAACTGAACTGAGCTGAGCTGAGCTGAGCTGAGCTGAACTGAACTGAACTGAACTGATCTGAACTGAACTGAGCTGAGCTGGGCTGAGCTGAGCTGAGCTGAACTGAGCTGAGCTGAGCTGGGCTGAGCTGAGCTGAGCTGAACTGAGCTGAGCTGAACATGAGGTGCAGTTCAAGTCTCCAGGACAAGCTGTTGTTCAGCAAGGTTTCCAAGGTCAGGACTGAGCTTTCACAAAGAATAAGAAAGCGATTACAAAGGAGAAGGCAGGAATAAAACTGTAAATCACATGCAGAGCTATTGAGTTCTTTAATCAAATAATTTAAAAATATAAAACAAGGACAGAACTAGAGATGGTGTCAGATGAACCCAGTGAGTGTGAGACTGAAGGGCTTTCTGCTAAAGCGCTGCATTAGTCTTCTTGTCATGTTCTGTCCTTATTGGCCCCCGCTTCATCACAAATCATGTTTATGCTTTATGTAAAGACGCTGTTGCTCCCCGGCCTGCCTCATAAATGACGCTGACGCCAGCTGAGGGGAACCTTTGTTCCTCAGCCAAGAGACACGGGCGGAGTGTTAACAGGGACTTGGATGTAATAACACCAGAGCATGGGAGGGATTTTTATTTCCACCACAGTCCTGTTTCCACGTCTCTCTGTGCTATCTGTGTCCCCCAACCGAAGGCAGAGGACAGAGAGACGGGCTTGTTGTGATGATTAATCCTGCAACATCTCACCACAAACCCAATTCATTCAGTTCCTGTTTTCCTGTTTTCCAACACGGTTCTGATGTTGGAATGTAATGCTTGTTCTCTGTAAAACTAGAGACGTCTCACAGCTTCCTCAACATCTGAGTCAGTTGTTTAGTATGCTCTGGCATCTCTTGGTGTTGTCTGACAGGCTTTGTCAAGCGAAGGAATTAGTGGATGATTAGTTTGTCTCCAGCTCCGTGGGTTTCTCATCACATACCAGATATGCCCGTATCCGTAGCCCTAGCATGAAGTATGTGAGTTAGATATGTTCCAGTACATCAGTGCTTCAGGCAAGGTCATCCATTGCCACTGATATTTACATTTAGGCACAAAAAAGAAAAGGTCCTGTGAGAGTCATATTTTAGTCATTTTTGACAAGTTTCAGAGCATTCAGATAGTTTTGGGCAGACTTTGGGCAGGTTTCAGGTTCTTCTGGGCAGTTCCCTTCTTACAACTTCAGAGTCATTTTGGAAATGTTTCAAAGCATTTCACACCCGTTTAAACTAATTCAGGACAAGTTTCAAGTCAATCTGGGTGGGTTTGGGTCCTTCTGGACAATTTTTGAGTCATTTTTGACAGGTTTGAAGGCATTCCATTAGTTTTCAACTAATTTGGACAGTTTTCAATTAATTCTGACATGAATCCTGTCCAAAACCAGTTAGAACTGTTTGGAGTGGTTTGAAGCTTGCAGAGTGATTTAGGAATCATCCAAAATGTCTTAAAACATTTCTAAAGTCAATTAAAAACCGTCAAAATTGATTCAGAATCGCCCACAAATGACTGGAGTCCTGTCCAAAATGAGATAAAACTATTTTAAATGCTCTGAAGTTTTCCCAAAATTGCTTAAAAATTGTCCTTAGTGTCTTAAAAATGTCTAAAATGAATCAAAAAGTAAAAAAGATGGTTCTGTGTGACCACCCGCTCATTAAACTGTTGGTCTGCACTTAAATAGTCACAGAGCTTCTGATTGGACGCACAGGCAGAATCACCAAACAGAGTCAGGGTTAAAGCACAACAGCTTCAGCTGGAGGATCAGGCAGAAGGTGGTACAGTCTGTTCCAGATGTTAACACCAGTATCCATCTAACCAGGCAGAGGCACAAAACCGTCAAGGATCCAGAACAGAGAAGCAGGCTCTGTTCTAAATAAGTACAAACAGGCACAAAGCCGATGCCTGTCCACACCAGTGGTAACAGAGCTGCCGTGCAAGGTGCTGCCTGCCGCTGTTAGCAACACGGGGCTCCGTGTCCTGCCCAAGGACACTTCAGCATGTGGAGGGCCAAGCTGCTCCTCCACCTGGGCCGCCCAGTGGTGGAGGGGCAGTGGGAGTGTCTGTGGGTGGCAGGACCAGCTGGCGGGCAGAGACTGAGCAAAGGGGTCTGTGGGAAGACGAGGAGGTGCAGGGGCTTTAGGAACAGCCAGAGGCTCCTGCAGAGCCCAGGACAGATCTGTGGATGTATACTCAGAGTCATGCAGTCCACGATCTAAATCTGTTGTCCTTCAACTTTCCAACTTTTCTCTCTAAACACAAGTCCAGCCGTTTGGTTTCAGTTTCCCGTTTAGCTACACGTCAGGAGTCTAACAAGTCCTGCTTCAGATCCAATCGGACTCATTCCTCCTTAAAACAGACCGGCCCGTTTGTGCTGGTTGGTGCTGTGAGCCTCAGCCATTGTGTATGATTACGTGTGATCAGATCCAAACCTCATTTGATCCAATCGCTTGCACAACCACCTAATTGAGACTTTTATCAGTCGTTTTAGCTCTTAGCCAACTCAGTGACATCGAAGTCCTTCTGCTCAGCAGGAATAGCTTCAGACGGAGTGAACAACACGGTGTAGGAGGAATGGGAGTTAAACTTGTGCACAGCAGCACCGAAAAGTAAAGGTAGATGTGTTGTACTTTGGGTTCCCAGATGGTTGTAACATTAACCTTCCCCTTGTCTTCCAGAATGAACTTTGGATGTGCATCAACTCCACACTTCCAGGTAAGACTGAATGCACACAGCGTTATATAGTGGTTAGATCAAGTCTGATTACCTGGCTAGCATCAGACAACACACACACACACACACACACACACACACACACACACACACACACACACACACAGGTGGAAAGTAGCTTCAATGCTGAAGACAGGTATGTTCTGAGGTCCTGGTGGAGTTTGAACAGGTGAGCAGAAACAGGACTAGTTTTGTAGGTAAACAGGGAGGCGTTCATTTTTCCATCATACTTTACATCCACACATGTGAGGAGCTGAAATGTTTGGACATTAAACATCACACGATTAATCAACAGCACTGCAACAGTTCGTCTGTTATTTAAATAGTTACTGACTGATGGAATAAAGAGCTTTAAAAGTATTTAGATAAAAACCTTCATAGTGTCTCATTCATGGTGTAGAAGGTCTGAGAACGCTTTTTTGTTTTCAGTTTGCTGTTCTTTACTTGTTTTTTCTACTCATTTGATAACGATAAGCATCACTGGTCTCATCATATCTTTAACATAGAAACTTGAGGAGAACACTGAGTACACACCTTTCCTCTGACCTGAAGCGTGACTTCCAGCCCCAGCTGTATCTGCTGTGTGTCTGGTTGCATGAGAACAGCCCAGTGAAGCTGTTAAAGCTCTGACCAGAGCACAGCGAAGCACAGAGCAGGCAGTGGACCAAAGGCCTGGATCCTGGTGATCCTGGTGTCGGGACTTGGAACAAGTCGACCTGTCAGAAGCCTAATGGCCTCAGGATTGGGATGTATTGTTGTGTGCCCCTTTGTACCCGCTGAACGCTGGTGTCCAGACTGCCTCGGTAGTCTGCAGAGGTTGAACCTGTGAAGGACAAAGCCTCCTCCAGATCCTCTGTTTGGGAGATATCATCAGTGCTCTGATGTTCAGCAGCCTGTATGGTGTTGGTGTCGCCGCTTCTCTTCAACATCCCAGTGTCAGTTAGTGACCTTCATTTCTCCAAATGCAATCCACAACAGGAGCAGAATGCCGTTTGAAACTCAACATGCACCAATGAGCCAAACCGCTATGAGCAGTCACAGAGGAAGCAAATGATGTTTGGTTATCACATGAAGGGACGCAGTAATAAATACATCATTCAACAAGCTCCACCAGCACCACAATAGATCTAGCTTTTAATTAAGGCAAATATTAGGCCAGCAAATAAATCAGTCTGCAGTGAGTGTACAAGCTCACAAAGCAAACACACATAACATGTTGTTGACTCTGTGGTGTTTGGTTTGGCTCCAGGAGTGTCCAGGAAGTCCGACGGCTGGGTGGGGCTGGGCTGCTGCGAGCTGGCCATCTCAGCCGAGTGTCGCAGGGAATGCAGACAGGTGAGATACTGTACCTGCAGTGTGTCCAGCTTCCTGTCCCACATCGGTTTGGTGTCGACCTTCACTGTCGGCCCGTTGTGCTTTCATGACAGAATCAAACTTCTTGTTTCTTTTTAGGCAACATCTAAAAATGACATAACGAAAGTATGCAAGAAAGTCACAGAGGTGAGTCCACGAGTCCAGGAGCAGGAACATTTACTCAGAAGATGCAGACTGTGTGCTGTGTTTTAGAATTGTACGTATCTGAATAGTTGAATAGAGCAGAATGATGTAAACTGGATTCTGCTTTTTCAGGTAAAATGTTAAAATATGTGCACACATATAGATGCATGAATGCTAATATTTGTAACACTCGTAAAAGAAAATGAAAATGAATTGAAAAATGTGAATAAAAAGGCACAGATGCTGTTGTTTCTTATTTTAGTGATAAGATAATATTAATGAGGAGACAGAGCGGTGCTGGGGAACGCCCACGCAGTCACAGCATTAAACACAACATGTTTCTGCTGTTTTTTACAACGTTTGCATGTTAAAAACTGACTTAGCTTCTCTCTCCTGCTTCCAGAACTCCCTCTACAGCTGCATCACCAAAAATGAAAGTAAGTTGTTCCATACACAAGCTGACGAGTGTAGAAGCCAACAGCTACAAACACTGAGCTCATCTCTCCTTCCAGCTAATACATAAATAAACTCCTCAAGAACATCTCTTCACTCTCAGACCAGAGACGGGCTTGTTTGTGTTCTTCTCTCTGTGTCACACATGCTGTAAATACACAACACGCACACACACATGGCAGAGCCGTGTTGCTGGGATGGCAGGATGTGAACTCAGTGTCCTGTTGAGAGGTTGAATGTTGGTCAGACAGCTTTAGCTGGAGTCATGTTTACCTTGTAGAGGTACGACTACTAGACCCTTAGCTGATTAGCATTATAGCTGCTTAGCGCAGTCATTCATAGCGGTCAGCGTGGGTGCCTCTGTGAACGCTGACCAGGTTTTATCCACCAGCGTAGCACTCGTGGTTCCTGATCGCTCAGCTGACTGCCCACAGACCCGTGCTGGTGTGTTGTAGTGTTACCTCTGTGTGTGTGTTCCTGCAGTGGGCTCCACGTGCTGTAGCTATGCAGGCCGTCACACCACCTGCAGGGACTACTGCCAGGCCATCTTCAGGACGGACTCCACCCCCACCGTGTCCCAGATCAATGCTGTCAAAGACTACTGTCAGAGTCACGGTGCTCAGCTGCTCAGCTGCGTCAGCAACTTCACCAAGTCCTACCCCATACGCAGCCCCATCGACAGTGAGTCCATCTGCACCACACAGCACCCACCGCTTCTCTGTTATAGCAGGAGTAAAATAAAGCACGCTGCTCTTATTGTAAAAGCCTGGTGTGAATATCATGGGATTATACAGGGCTGGACAGTGAACTGCTGCTTGTTTGTATGTGTGTTGTTGTTGATGCCATTTTTGTTTGTTGTGCTGAATAACACAACAGTCCTCCTGCTGCCAGGATGAAATGTATTCAGGAACACAGACTGGGACTTGATTAAATAAGTCACAAGAGATCCTGGATGCTGATGAAGTGTAAAGTATGTGTGTCAGCAGGTATCTGTACAGTATGTGTAGTCATAAACTAAAACCTGCCAGAAGGTTCATGACAGGTGTATCTGAGATGTGCAGCCCACAGCTCGTTATTCTGACGTAGCTCCACCTTTGTGTTTTCAACATACTCCGATATTAACATTAAAACAACGTCTCCAGTAGTTTATATTATTATCATAGTTGAAAACGTTGTGCTGCCTCGCCACGGTGGGGTGAGAGGAGAGCGGAGGAGGGGCAGAGGATGGAGAATGCTGATTGAGCAACAAAACCAGTAAACTACATTCATAGACGTCCTGTATTCCTCCAGTGCTGCTGCTTTTCTTTCGTCTGTCCATCCACCCCACATTTAATCTGCCTTTCATGACTGACCTGCTTTACGTAGGAGCTGGAAAGTCCTGATAGGTTTCATGAGCACAGCCACGTTCTGATCACACCTCAGAACATGTAAATGCACCTGTTCCTGCTTCACTGACACATACGTGGATACATCTTCTGGCCCAGCATGTCATTTTCTACCAGCTGTGTTTCTGGTTAAATGACCCGTTTTCCGGTACTGACGAGTCCCTGTGACCCTGACCTCCAGGTCTGTACTGCTGTGACCGGGCAGAGGCCACCCACTGCCAGGTGGCTTGTCGGCAGATCCTTCGCACCATGAGCACAGAGCACGAGATCATGGAGGGTCTGATCAAGGAGTGTGGCTCCCAGCCCCTCCCCCAGGAGCCCATGTGGCAGTGCTTCCTGGGCAGCGCCCACCCTCCGTCCCCACCTGAAGAGGAGACCCCCCATCCCGCAAAGATGGACTGTGCCAAGCTGCACTGCTGCTCCAAAGCCAACACCTCGCTGTGCAGGTACAGCACCTGCTCACCTGGTCAGGTCAGATAGGATGAGGTGGAGCGTGTGGTGTTTCCTGCTCTAACTCTGTGCTCTGCTGTGATAGGGACATGTGTCAGGAGATCAGCACCAACTGGGGCAGCCAGACGTGGCAGGACTTCGACCAGCTCTGTGAGTACAACCCAGTGGAGACGGAGCTCATCAACTGCCTGGCTGACGTCAGAGAGCCCTGCCAGCTGGGCTGCAAGGACCTCAGCTACTGCACCAACTTCAACAACAGGTCAGAGGCGTGCTCCTCACCAGGGTTTTTATCTGATGCTTCCATCTCAGCTCCGTTCTGTATCTGCCATTATCTAGTTGTCTTCATATCAGGCAGCACACATGTCCAGTTGGTGCGCTCATGCTGCCCACTGTGAGCCCACCTTACAGCTAACTGCATGGATAGAATAAGGTCCATTTGTGCCTTCATATGCTGCTGCTTCTGCCTGACAGTCACCAACACGACTGCTTTTACATTCACATCGACGACAGAATGTGTCCTCGGATCAGAACAGTACGTACCTGCTGATACCTGTGTAATACCTATGTGATAAACTATGTGTGTTTTAGAAGAGCGCAGTCCCATTCATGGTGTCCATGTGGTCCACACTGCTGTACTGGACACTCTGTCTGTTTGTGTCACGTGTTCATGGCACTATTCCTGATGAGTGGACACATTACATTAAACAGCCACATACAAAACCCTGAGGAGCTCCTGCTGCTGCCTGGAGGTTGCCGTGGTGCTTTGTGCTGTGTATGTTCCCAGCTGTAGCTCCGACTGTAGTGCCACAGCTGTCCACATCCTGCTGAAACAACATCAAGACGCTCTGATTGACGTTCTACCTGTTTCATATGACATTACCTTCACTTATCTCAACGACCTTTTGTGCTTTCAGTGATTTTTCCGTTACTTTAACAGTTTACCTGCCATGTAAGCTTCTATCCCAAACTCTCTGAAGGACACTTTAACTGCTTTCACTTCAGATTTTGATGCTTTCATTGCATGACCTTGAACATTTCAGTCAGCTATTACATTTAAAGTGTTAGTTGAACTGTTTTCCATGCTAGCTTGCTGCTCCACAGCGCACAGGGCTTCTACGTGAAACAAAGACTTCAGTCATGTCCTTCAGCTGCTCTCTGCTCCAACACTTTAACTCTTCAGCCCCTTTAAAGTGGTGACATTTCAAATTGAAGCTACTTCAGTTCTTCCAGTTCAACCGAGACTTCAGCTCTTCAATGCAGACATAACATTTTATATCTTGTTTAGTGTGTTTTTTCCAGCTGCAGTTTTCAGGTGTAGAGAGCAGCGTACGTCTTCTTTACTTTGTGTCTATATGTTCATCTAGTAACACTCATTTCTGAACTTTTTCACTGTGTGTGAAAATGAGCCACGTAGGGCCTGAAGGAAGCAGAGAGACTCAAAACAAGAGACAGATTCATGTTGGACCCAGTGTGACCCTGGAATGATCAGCACCGCAGCGTGTTTTATATAAGATCTACAGATGGGGCGAGAGGCCAAATGGAGCAGCTTCAAAGACGGAGCAGTCACACTAACACACACACATCAAAACAAACTCTCATGGACTTCACAAATACACACAGCAGTCTGTTGATCACCTGGTGAGAAGAGCTCACAGCAACGTGCAGAGCGTCCTGGAAACCCGGGTCGTGTTCAGCGCCAGGAATCAGATGTTTGACGACAGTGTAAAGTCTGTCAGTCACGAAGAACGTTGAGACAGTCGGTATTTATTTTAACTGGTAATGTAGCCTTAAGGTTTATGTGTCCCTGTGCAGAGAGTTGATTAGCCCTGAGCATAATGAACATGGTGTGTGTTCTGTGTAGCATCTACAGCTGCCATAGTCACATCTAGCTGTGCCCTAACAGCTGACCAGCAGGTGTCAGGTGGTCACCAAGATGGAGGGACTATTTACAGAAGTATAAAGTACAGTACAGATCCAGACCTGGACAAATACAACACAGTGTGAGAAGTCATGGTCTGAGATCGTGACGGCACGCTGTGGCATTGTGGGAGTTAAAGTTCAGGCAAACAAACTGCATGCACGGCTGCTGGACTGTTCTTTGATGGGCTCCAGGGGAACCTCGGTGCCTCTTTCCTCCCTCTGGGGCTTCAGACTAAGAGCTGCATGAAGACGCACACTGACCTGGAGGTGGTGTTTCAGGGCACAGAGCTAGTAACTGTGTGTCTGCATGTCTGTCCTCCCCTGTGTGGGCGGAAGACAAGCTGAAGTCCTTGAACCTTAAATTAGAAACAAATCCATGAGCGCTCCATGCCATGCCGTGATTAAGTGTTCTGTGTATAAAACGGGATGTTCTGTAGACTCGATCCCTCTGACTGGCCCACAAAGTAACTCACTCACACACTCAGTTCTTGCTTTCATTTGTCTATATTTCATTACAATGTTTAGCCAGCCTGCCCTCTAGAGGATTTTATTAAGTATTGCAGTGACTGCCTCTGACTATGTAGAACACATGACAGCAGCTGTGGCCCAGTTGAGCAGCTGGTTCCGTTGCAGGATTCCTCATAATCAGGTTCTCCTGAGGAGCCATGTTGGCTCAGGTTGACCAAAAGTAAAGCAGTCTGTCCTTACAGAGACTTCTGTCACAGTGCATGTGGACTGTGTTAAACATTTAGCACATAGAAGTTGCCCTGATGCAGATAAACAGTTATGAGCATCCGACTCTTGTGTCTGAAATGAGCTCGTTTGTGCAGCTGCAGTATCTCCACCTGTTCCCAGTGGACACACCGGAAAGCGGCGTGATAAGACTGTCATCAGACGGCGTACCACCGCCTTCCTGATCCCAGGCTCCAAGGACTCTCTGTCTTTTATGTGTCTTTGCAATTTGGTGCAATCAGATATGAATGGAGTTAAGTACATGCTGTGACAGCCTCTGTTTGAAGCCATTTCTGTTCCCATTTGTACTCAAGCAGGAGTTTGTAAAGAACAGAGAAAGTTCGTTGCCCTGTCTCATAGCTCACACCTGGACAGGCAATTCATGAAGGAGGAATTCCTGTCTGCAATATAAAGTTACAAATATTATTGATAGTGTATGGTTTCAGATGCTTTTATAAAGTCTCATCTGTCTCCAGAGAGGATGACGTTCATTAAGTTTACAAAATGCTCAATACATATTTAATGAAGACAGCATCTTATCTGTTTACATGACGACTATCAAGAACATCAGGTGGAGGTTGCATCTGGTCTCCTTTATTTATGCCAAAGTAAAGCTATGCAGGAACAATGCTGGGCTGATGCAACACTGGTGTCATGGCCATCCTCAAAGTGCAGATCAACAGTCTTGTGAAGCCGTATCAGCCAATAAACTCTATGCCATCGCATATGTGGAGTTAGAAAGTCATCCACAGAAGATCAGTGAGCTGCTCTCATTAGAATAAACAAAGCGTCACCTTGAAACATCTTCTTCTGTTAACGGTCACAATATAATCCAAAAACACACACTGACCTTCCTGGTTCTGTTTATTCCATATGATATATTAGCTTATATGAAGAGTTCATTTGTAAAAACTGATAACTCCATCTTTACAGACCTTCATAAACCCACTGTTCCATCATCTACCAGAGACAACATCAATCAAACTTCAGTTATCTCTGTTTCTGTCATTTCTACGGAGTCAGATCCACTCAGCTTCAGTTTGACTGATTTTATCTCAAGCAAACAATAAAAAACAAGTTTTCTGAAAACCTACTAAAATGGAGTTATCTGTTTTTGCAAATGAACTCTTCATGTGGACATGTTTGTTTATGCATCTGTTCCCACACACACCTCCACCTGACTGCTGTGCCAGAGCCGTGCAGACATGGCCAGGTGACCTCGGCGCCTACAAATCAAGGTCAGGGCGTTCATGGGATTGTAGGAAGCGTTGCTGTCAGTGGAATTCATAAATCGGTTATACAACTCTGTTCACTCTTATTACTGCAAATCAGTGGAATAGCTTTGGCAGAAATAAAAGGAGACGTGGTTTTATTGAGGTGGATTTTCAAACAAGTTGATGATGGCACCGTATTGGAATGAATGTAAACAGATTGCTGCCTTGGAGAAAGTGAAAAGTTGTGTTTGTCTTTGTTTTGTCTGACGCTGAATAGGAGTAATATTTCTTCACTGGAGTGTTGTCTGAACAAGATGAAGCACCCTGAATATATTTACTGCAGCAGCTCTGATTAAACTGCTTGGACTGCCAGTCTCTGTTATGAACGCTGGAGCGAGTTGTTCTTAATACCAATCAGCGGATTGCCGTTACAGTTGGTCCTGGTTTGGGAGGAAACCACCGCTGACCGCTTTGGCTTGACTCAAGTTCAGGATTCAAAGCTACACAAACACACACATTCACTATCAAGATAAACAAAGCAGTCACTCATCAGGCGCAAATAGCACGTTGGAACCACACTCAGAACCCGGTCCGTTTTAAACCACCAATTAGCTGACTCACTGGAGACCCAAGCCACCAATCATACATCAAAGACACATCCTGATGCAGAGTGGAAGGAAAACAGAGAAGCTTTAGCTCCGTCTGTACGGCCTGCAGAGGGAACAGCCCACCTCATGAGTGTTGCTTTTTCTCTCCAAATCAACGATAATATCACTTTTATCATCTATGTGTGTGTGTGTGTCCACAGGCCAACGGAGCTGTTCCGCAGCTGCAACGTTCAGTCAGATCAGGGCGCCATGAACGACATCAAGCTGTGGTCCAACGGCACCATCAAGATGCCGGTCATGAACATCCCCGTGCTGGACATAAGGAAGTGCCTGCCGGACATGTGGAAGGCCGTGGCCTGTTCCCTGCAGATCAAACCCTGCCACAGCAAGTCCAGAGGCAGCGTCATATGCAAGTAGGTCTGCTGCCAACAGGAACATCTGGTTTGTAACCAGCTATTAATGGTGCTCATGGAGATGTGAGTACAGCGACATCACTGCACGCACGCCTGCCTTCATGTTCATCTGTTTTCTGTGACATTTGGTAAATTACAACTGCCCAAAATCCATCACACCACAGAAGTGTGAGGAATGCCGCTGTGTTAGGCCACCATGGATGAAGCGCAGCACTTCCTCCTCTTGCACTTTGTTTAGAGCCAGTAGTGTTTGTTTGATTCCTAGTGACTGTTCTAAAGTCTGGATTAAAACATGGGAGCCTGACTGGCAGCAGTGTGAGTAGAGCACCAGGCTCAGGAAGCTCATGTCAAAGGATTATTCATTATTTGTGTTTAATGGTAGTTACCTGGAAAGACACAGTTACCTTCAGGCTGAGTCCTTTCCTTGGCCTTCCTCCCCGTTGTCTCCTCTCACAGTGTACGTGTTGAGCCAATAGCGAGTGATGAGAACATAAATAGCACATGGGCCTGGCGTCTGATTGACAGATGGAGGATCTGCTGTGTTGTGTCATGTCTGGAGGAAGCGTGTACCTGCTCCAGACATGACCTTAGCAATGATCTGTAGTCCTCACACATCCACACTCTGTGACAGAGGGTTCAGCCGTGTTCAGGTTGGACTCAGCTGTAGTGGAGTGGGTTTTTCAGGCATTTAGTTGTGATGCTTTGAGCCAGTGCATCCTGTCAGGTTGTGTTCTCACAGCCATAGGAATGCTGCTGTGTGTGCTACATCACAGCAGCCTCCAGGCGATACGTGGTCCTGTTCAGTCATTCATCAGACACAGCCTCCCGCCCAGGTTTTAATCCCCCACTAGTCTTGAATGACATTACAGCATGTCAGACGTTGCTCTGAAGGCTGTGGTGTTGGCAGAGGCTCTCAGTCTGCACCCACTCCGGCTTACAACCCTCTTTAGCTTAGCACGACTACCTGGTGTTGACTGGCTTCGTTTCATGCAGCGGTGCAGCTTAACTTAGTGTTCTCTTTCCTTTCATCTGTCCTCAGGTCCGACTGTGTGGACATCCTGACCCAGTGTGGGGATAAGAAACGTTTCCACGACGGACTAACACCGGAGAGAATTTGTGAGCTGCTTTCACCCATCGATGACCCTGAGCGCTGCATCCCCCTCCACAGATACCTCAGTGAGTCCCGCTGTACACTACATGCTCCTCCAGTGCTGATCTCCTCCTTCCAGACGGATGTGTAGCTGAAACGCTCCAGCAACACGCCGTGGCCACTAGAGGGCAGAGGATCACACAGATCAGACGTGACAGCCGCAGCACGCTCTTCATATCATGTACCAGGCTGTTATGGCTAACGTTTTAGCAAACAGTGTTGTATTCCTGCATCCAGTAGACACAGAACAACATTACCTCTCCACCCTAATAGTCACTTGCCTTTTAGCAGTAGTTTAAAAATTGGGGCTTCAGCTTTCAGAGTGCTTCAGCACTTAGTAGCTAACGTTGTCTGTGTTGCTGTGGTGCTGGGAAGGCAGTGTTGGGCTGAGTTAATGCAATGAGCTGCCAGGCTGATGACAGTGCTGAGCCTGAGCTGTACAATAACCTACAATAAAACCTAAAGTATGGCCTAATGGAGACTGAAACTTTTCTCTGACTTGTAGTGAAATAAAACCTGGTAGAACTGCCATGAGATGTGGTTGATGTTTATGAGCTGAGGACATTAGATGAAGATGTATTTCTATACAAACAACATTCACACTAGAAAGAAGTTCCCTGTAGAAGTTGTGTTTATCTTCAGGCTTGATGAAGCTATAAAATCAGGTGACTGCCGAGTTGTGAGCAGTATTTGATCTGACAGGTCTGCAGTCGTCACATCAAGTCATGTGACGAGTCCACACCACTGCTAAAGTTTGCAGCAACAGTGATGTGATTCCAAGGATATGTAAATCTATATTATTAAATGGTTCTAACAATCAGGCTGTATCCTGGCCAGTAGGCACGTCTGTGTTGTCTGGTTAGACTTATAAACCAATGCAGTCCGTTCACATGTAGGCACCACCATGAGCAGCAAGTGTTTTCATACCTGACACACCGGCTGTCCTGTTTAATCTGATTCTCCACCTTCTCCTACACACACTGTCCAGTGCCCAGCTCCCTCGGCAACAGCATTGTCGAGGAGGTCATCCATCCGTGCAACCCCAACCCCTGTCCCAGCAACCACTTGTGCCAGGTCAACAGGAAGGGCTGCCTCGACGAGCTCAACTGTCAGCCATACCTCTGTGTGCCAGGTACGACCGTCTCCTGCACCTTTCAGCAGCTTTAAAGCATCCAGAGTCTGACGTGTTGATGTGTTTTCAGGCTGTAAGCTGGGCGAGGCCTCTGAGTTCCTAGTGCAGCAGGACGCTCGTATACAAGTGCCAACTCGGACCGGTCCTGCTGGGTGCTACGAGGTGTGCAGCTGTGGCCCCAGTGGGCGCCTGGAGAACTGTGTGGAGATGCCCTGCGTGGACACCAACAAACCCTGCATCGTAGGAGGCCAGAGGAAGAGTAAGACCTCCCTCGTGTCGTTGTTTCTGCTCGTCCCTGTAGCGCCTTCAGACCGTGAACCAGCAGCAGCTGAATGTCAGCTTCATGTCTGAATGAGGACCTGCAGTGGCCGAGTCACATCACCTTCAATACGGCAAAACTCTGAACT